GATAAATACGCACTAGACAATCATGCCCGGAAGTTGACGTGACGCCCAGGGCGCATGAGGTTGCAATGAGACTTACCCTGTTCCCAATTCCAAGGTGCATGAGGGTGCAATAATAAGACTTAATGAGTTAAATTACTTTACTGTAATGAAGTACTTTGTGAAATATAATACTGAATCAAACTCTAAGGCTATGTAAGTGTTATATCTGTGGTGGGTACATATGACTGCATGTGCATATCAGACTGAGTGATATCAGTGTTTATGCCATGGTTTATTCGTGGTTTATGAAATTATCTATGGCTATGTTCATATTATAAAATGTATACTGTATATCAGAAAAATACTGTTAGAAATATTGCTGTTACCCCATTATCAGGCTAAAGCTGTGATTGTATAATACCACCTGATGATACACGCCCTGAGGCTGAAAATTGTTGCACTTTACTACCTGGCAACCTCCTACCCTACGGATCTACAGGGTTTTTAAGTACTATTTAAAACATGAGTAGGAGTGTTTTATCAGATATAAAACGTGAGGCGCAGCCGAGCGTTTTATGTCTGATAAAACATGACAACAATATTTTGAATAGCTTAAAATATGACTAAAAAAGAATACTAATTACGATGAACCTTTATATAATCATACTAATTAGGATGAAGAATTATATAATGCCACATGCTTTATCAGATATAAAGTCACTCCATGTGACATATTATGGCTGACATGATTTGCCACAAGATTTATGAATTATTAATTAGTATTTTAAATGAATATGATGAACTATTTAATTAAAAGTATTTTCAAACTTTTAGCATTTAGTCTCTGTTCAGCAGTGTCCATGCACATGTTTACATTGTGACAAAAAGTTAATTACATTTCAAAATTTTATCAACCTTCACTAAATGAGAAGCGTACTATTAGTAAATCTGCACAAAGTTTATCAACGTTTTCAAACAACAAATCTAATGGCATATTTTAGGAACAGATAAAAGTGAAAATGTACAAATGTTGACGACTGACCAGTTTGATATGAAAATATGCTTGTGAGAGAATAACAAACTTCAAAGTATAAAGTATACATTTTATTTGTTTCTTGACTTGACTATTGATAAAATGCTACAGTGTTTTTGTAATTTAAAAGCAGAGGTATAAAATAGAAGTTAGTGGGCAATTCGAACTATATATCGTAAAATCCCACTCCTGGTATTTGAAATTTAATGTTTTCTGTAGAAGCATGTAATTTGATACTTTGCCATTCCCCCTTGGGCAATTAATGTTTGTAGAGTCATGTGACCAGCTGATACCAGGGTCTTTCCCAAAAAGACCCTGGGTATGAGGATGACAAGAATGTTGCGTGGTTCGATTCCCATTATGGAAATAAAGAATCATTTGTTATGATTGGAGTTTGTCTGTTACTGGAAGTGGTATTATAGTAAGCTGAAAACCTCTCAATTGCCGAGCAAGAATAAATTATTCAAGCACCAAAGCAATTTTACCGAAAAAATATTTAAAAAGCATTAATTGTTTGCCCATTTACCACTCGGAAAAATGCACGAATTACATCAAAGTACATGTAAGCAAATTTTGTTTCAAAATCGACAAAATATTGAAAAAATCGTCCCAGAAAACAAAAAAAAGCATAAAATGTTGTATTTTTATTATTATTTTATTTTGTTATTACAACTTTATTTCAATACGGAGCTATTTCACAATATAAAACTAACTAAATATACACAGAGAGAAAACAAAATGAGTGATCTTCCAAGGCCGTATATATAAAAATTATTATTACTTTCATTGCAATTAAAGCTTATTTTTGAAACACTGGACGGTTTGAGATCTTTTAAGATCACAAGGTAAACTATTCCAAGCCACTGCATCCCTGTAACTAAATGATTTTTTCTTGAAATTAGTGTTTGGTTTAGGTGGAAAATAATTTTGCACCTGTCTCGTTTCATAATTGTGTATGTCATCGGTTCTTTGAAATAAATTTGATATGCAGTGAGGAACCATTGAATTTCTAACTTTGAACATTAGTGTAGCAAGTTGTTGGTTCCTACGAGTCTCCAGATTGTCAAGGTTTAGGTTTTGTAGAAGAACACAGTAGCGGACATCATATCCACACTTAGTGATAATGCGTGCAGCTCTGTTTTGTAAACGCTACAGTTTATCAGAAAGTGTGGAGCTGATGCCGCCCCATACCTGTGAACAATAATCAAAGTAAGGTTGCACTAACGTTTTATAAGCAATTAGTAACGTTTCATGGTCTACAAATTCTCTTAACCTTTTTAGTACACTTACTTCAGTTGTTATTGTGTTAACCTGTTCATTCCAACTTAGTGTCTCATCTAGCATTAGACCCAATGACTTAAAGTGCTACTGCAGCAAATTTTTCGACCCTAATTTTTTTTAGCTTAATTAAAAGTGCTTTCCTTCCTGACCTGTTTACCACAAACAGAATTGAAATTGGTCAATTCAAACCGATTTTATAGCCTTCCAAAGTGCTCATTTTTGGCACTTCCTGTGCGAACTTTTGATCGGCCATGTTGATGCCATGTAACGTCATAAGATGAACATGATTTCATGATGGCGTATTAAAATTATAGTAAAACCAACAAATGCAGAGACGAAGGCCGTGTTTCTGGCAGTTCTAACTTGGATTATTGCATGAACAGCCTGAAGGAATACCTATGCATCTATTTCCCAACAAAGAAACAGATCCACAGAGTGAAAGAAAGTTAGTGAATTTTACCCATAAACATTGACCACGGGTTTTCATGCATCTGCGAACCTAGTGTTTTGATTGAGCCCGTTTTGAAGATTCGTGTTAAATCTTATTTTCATTGACAAAACCTCATAAAGGAAGAAACTGTTTATACAATTTACATGGCTAGAATTGTTCCCCTGGCTAAAGTACAACTAACAGACGCAAGACAAATAATTCAGTCAGGTATACAGTGAAGTACAAATTAATATGTTTGCACACATGTGTGGTGAATATTTTATGCAAATGATGCTATATAGTTAGTCTAAAGTGTTTAACATTTCTTATGTTTTAGATCATTTGTGTTAAGTTAGTTTCTTGTCCAGAGCATCTTGAGATTGAAATAAAGGCAACAATTCAGCATGCCTTGACCTGGTTTCGTCAAGACGTCTGATGACATTTTAAGAGAAACGATGCCATTGGAGTTATATTCAGTCATATCAATAATACATATTGCATAGTATAAAGTAACAAATATAATAATACAATAGTATAATATTGTACTGGTACGCTATTATGTGAGAAACATATGTGTTTCTGCTGGGGTCTACACCGTAGGCTACTTAACTGGTTACTTTGAAGATTAATATAATTTCAAAATATTACAGTATATATGATACTGCACAGTGGCACAATTTTGACTCAATGGTTAACAGACTCGGTCACAATCTGCCTAATCCAACTAAGACACAATAGCGCGCTGACGTTCGATTACTTTTATTTTGACACACCCTGTATAAAATCAACATTTACTCTGGAAATTATTTATAGCATAATTACTACATATCAGATTTGATTGACAGGCGTATCGATTTCGACCAATGGGAATTCTGCATTGTATGGGCAATGCGGATTTCATTTCTTAATGTGTTGTCTGCAGTCCCTCCTTTCTTTTCTCGTGCCCGGGAATCTCGTGCCCGGAAATCTAAACCCGCGGAAAGGAGGGACCGCTCGCAGTCTATAATACCACAGCCCATAATTGCCAATTACACCTATCGCTATCTATTAAAATCAGAATCATTTTGAGTATTGTGAATTATTAGGCTATGGATATGCTTGTGTTTATAAACGTTATTATATTTTTTGTCACGCACAATCCAGTATATAATAAATATTAAGTTGCACACACCAGATGTGTTCAAACAATCAGACACAATACCGAGGCAAGCATAATACAATATAAATATACATGCAATAAAAAGGATCTACTTACCACTAATTTTACAGGTATTGTACCATCGTTTGATTGCTCCAACATAGTCACAGATGGTAGTTGCCTATATCTGCAACGGCGTTATATATTGTCTCCATCACTTCGTCTAGTGAAGCTGTATAAAAGCTGTTTGAAACGTTCATCATCGTATTTCAAAGCCGAGTTCATACTCGTTGACTTCCAGATGTAATATATATATAACCGTCATTCCGCCGTCAAATAAACAATAAGATAGCACTTGTTCTTTGATTTTTAAAAATCAGTTATCTGCACCATAAACAAGTGAAATAGACAAAAATTCCACTGCAATATGTTGACGCGCCATATACTTTACTACAAATACGACCTTCATATCTTCGTTTCCATTCATCTTATGACGTCACACGGCATCAATATGGCGGCGGAAAAGTTCGCATGCGATAACCAACTTCAGAGGTTAAATTTGGCAACTTCTAAGCATCGCATGATGGTCAAATATACATGAAAATGCTTCTAAAAGACTGAATTTTTATTTAAGCTAAAAAAAATTAGGTCAAAAAATTTGCTGCAGTACCAATTTAAACGTTTTAACTCGTTTGATTTTTCTGCCCCGAGATAGATTGGAGGATCTGTTTCTATTAAATTTAGCCTTTGATAAGATCCTATAATGATATATTCAGTTTTCTTAGTATTTAAACTGAGTTTGTTTACAGTCAGCCAGTCACCTACATTTTTTAGGTCATTATTTAGTGCGTTTGTAACAGTATTTATGTCATTGCCAGATGTATCAATTTGGGTATCATCAGCAAACATGTTACACTTAACACTATTTAAGTAATTAGGGAGGTCATTTATATACAGTAGGAATAACAGGGGACCAAGAATTGACCACCTGCGGTATTCCACTAATCATGCTTGACTGTTTGGAAATACCTCCATTTACCTGGCAATACTGTGAGCAATTCGATAAGTATGATGTAAACCATTTGTGGGCAGTTCCAGTTATACCATAACAGTTAAGTTTATTTAATAGTATTTGGTGATTAACTGTCGAATGCCTTCTTGAGATCAAGAAAGACGACTCCATTCAGCTCACCAATATCAATATTATGATATAGCCTGTCAGTGATTTCTAGTAAAGCAGTTACAGTGGAATGACCAGGTCTGAAACCATGTTGGGAGGTAGATAATAGGTTCTCATCTTGTAAATATAAATAGAGTTGGTTATGAGCAACCTTTTGCATAACTTTAGCAATAGTTGAGATCACAGATATTGGTCTATAATTATTCATGTCATGTTTGGGTCCATTTTTGTAAATTGGTGTGACTGCAGAGATTTTCCAGTCGTGTGGAAATTGTACCCTCTGATAACGATTTGTTAAATTAAGTTAAATGGTGCTGCTACTTTTACAAGTTTAGCAGATATTTTATCTGGACCTGTTGCCTTATTTGTGGCAATATTCAATAAAAGATTAGTATTTTTTGTTGGGATACCTCTTGGAAATGGAAAACGAGCAGCCTAGACCTAGGCTAGGCCTTTACTCGGCTGGCTTTGGCAGGTATCTTTGGCAGGTTTGGTCAATTTCCGGCTAGCATTTGGTAATTAGCGCAATGGCCATTTGCCTCGTAAAGGCCTAGTCAATTTCACAAGTTCTCAAATTAGCCCCATAAGTTGGCCATAACTTCTTGATCCGAAATTGATCAGAAACCAACAACTAAAGCAATTTATACTGTCCAGTAGTTATTACATTAACTATAAAAACATTTTATATGACTAAACTAACCTATTATTAGTTTATAAATGTTGCGTTAAATTGTATTAAACATCTTTAAAGGCCTTTAAAGTAGTTCCAACAATTTTGTAAACTGACTTGAAAAAATTCCTTTATTCACAAGACAATCTACTGTTTTGCTTTGAATACTAGTAAACTATATTTGCGAATCGGGAATGAGGATTTTGACATTATTGTTCAATTATTATGGATATACCATTTGTAAACAATGTACGTTTTATACACTGTACGGGCTAATAATATATGTATCCGTTTTATTTAATAATTGTATATGTGTTTGTATATTTTACAAACACAAGGCTGCTTCTTGCCAAAATTGAGAAAATATATATTAATGTAGTTGTGTAAAAGATAAAATTTCATGAAAGATTCTACTTTTAAATTTTGGCTACAGCAGCTTGGTTATAGGAATATTCCGAGACAGTCGCTGGGCAACTTCTATGAAATGTTTGTCAAAGGCATTTGGGAGATATCCTTGTCCTGTACTTCTTCATTATTTTCATTTTTAATGTGACCTACATAGTAGAATTGAAAGATAGGATTTCTTTATTATTTTACTGTGTCAAACATATTCACAGACAAGTTAAAACTTATTTAAAACTCCGAAACATTCGCTTCAAAAAAATAGCAAAAACATCCCGACTGTTGGGAAAAGCTGTGATATTCTTTTTGAATTTTTAATGAATTTCATACAATTTTTTACACACAAATTTTTAAAGACAATTAGATAAGATACATACATAATACTATTGAAAAAAGAAGGAAAAAATATATAATACATATTGCACACAGTGATCAAAGTAGCAATAAGCTTTCGAGTTGATCACTGCCTCATTAAATGATTTTAGAGAAAGTTTAACAAGATATATAAATATGACAAATTAAATATAATATCATTGCTTCAAGGAATTAGAAGGGGTGTGTTTGTGAAATAATTAGGAATTGAGTATATCTTATTTTAAATATTGACATTGAATTTGATTGTTTGATTTCAGGATTAGTAGACTCCCAAATTTGTGATGAAATAAATTTAAATGTTTGTATTCCATAATTAGTTTGTGCTTTTGGTCTACTTAGATTCTGTCTGCTAGCAAATCTGGTATTATGAGAGTGTTGAGCAGATACAACCTCGATACTACTGGCAAATACTATTCGGACATTTGTTCCTGCTAGTATTTTGTAAACAAATGTTGCAATTTTCAATTGAAAAACATTTTTAACTTTAGTATACCTAAAAGATTATAATACAGAGTTACATTCTCTTTTTTTCTTGCGAAAAATATGCTCCTGATGGATTTAGGCAGTGTTTACACTGTACCGTTTTCGTAGCGTTCTCGTATTGTTCGAGAGAACTAGACTATTGTCTTGCATTCCCTTGAGGATTAAGAACAATACGAGAACACTACAAAAACGGTACAGTGTAAACGCTGCCTTATTTTGACTGGAGCCAATAGTTAATAGAGGAGATGGTTTGGAAACTCATTAGCATTACAATAAACCTCACTATCTATGTTTTTGTTCAGGTTTATGCAAAAATGTGGTCTTTCATTGGTTGACTTGAGAAAAATATGACGATGAAAGACCACATTTTTGCATAAACCTGAACAACATAGATAATGAGGTTTATTGTGATTTTATTGTAATGCTAACGAGTTTCCAAACCATCTCCTCTATTAACTATGCTGGAGCACAATTTGGTTAATTTTGAAGTATAAGTCTTTCCCCAACTCATCAATCCATAATTGATATAAGGATAGATCAGTGAATAATACAGTTGCTTAGCGTTTTCAAATCAATGTAATATCTAAGTTTATTTATGATTCGAATATTCTTAGCAAGTTTACTTGTTGACATACTTAATCTAATAGTCCCAAGTAAGATGCTTATCAATGTATATACCTAGATACTTAATATAATCCTTTTGTTCAAAGTTCCTTATCCTTATATTTTGAATCTTTTTCTTTTGAGAGGTTATTACCCTAAAATTGGTCTTTTTTAAGATTGATAATTTATTAACTGCAAAATAATGAAATTTCTAGTTCCTCATTCATCACATTTTCTACATCATCAATAGATTTTCCAGAATAAAAATCACATTTTCTACATCATCAATAGATTTTCCAGAATAAAATACATTGGTGTCATCAGCAAAAATTCGAAATGAAAGTTTTTAGCACAATTTGGCATATCATTTAAATATCTCAGGGGTCGAAATTCCCGCTATTCCGAATATACTAAAATGCATGACGGAATAGTAAACTTCATGATCACAGTATTCCGTTTGTATAGTAGAAAAAATTGTGGAACCAAATATCGAAGAGCAAGGGTTTTTCTGATCTTATAAAAAATCACTTTATACCGGACTTTGAGCCGCTGTTCCACTTCGTAGCTAAGTTCTTGTTTGCTTGCAATACTTGAGTATCCTAATTTCCTTGCAGGAATATTATTGTCGATTTTAAGTCACTTTTCAATGCGCGGTTCCCAAGTTCGTTGCGAATTTGGCGATTACATTTCCAGTTTGGAAATTGGGCGCGAACTTCGCAACAAAATTTGCAAGTTCATTTCAGTGTTTGAACTTTGTTTTTTATTAATAATTTGTTCATCACTGTACAGAGCAATGCACTGTACATGTTTAGTTTTTGTTATTCAATAGACGTTTCCCCCCTTTTAGCAGCACACACGCAAAGCATCCCGGTAGTTGATTATCAAAGTCAATTTGAGTTGTCATGGCGAAGTGTTCGGGAGCGATGTTTTCTTGAAGGAAATCTGGTCGATTTTCAGCCTTTTTTATCTAACCTTAAAGGATAAAAACAGTGTCTTGAGAAAATCATAACTCCTTGCTATGTGTAGACGGAATGATGAAGGGATCGGTTGTAGTTTTAGCGAGAAAAACGGCTTTTTTAATCACCAAGGGGCGATCAGTTTATTCGACGAAAATGGCCTTCGAATCTGGGTTCCTTTCACCTGCAGTCGGTGAGTTATGGTATTATGTAGCGATCAAAAGATTATTTTGATATGTCAACAGTCCCCTATATTCTGTCTTTCGGTATGAATAATTTTAGACTGGCTTACCCATTTTCTCGTACATTTTTTGTTCCTTAAATACGGCATGCGCTTTCAAATTTTCGGCTTTCATTTTATACATATCTAGGCTTGCTTGTAGCTGTTTGGCTTTGCCTTTATTGGCATGAAAATTACAAACATTTGTAGCCAATGTTGCAGTTTTAGTCTACGACCTTAATATTTTTGCTTGTTTTCTGGAGTTTTGCTTGTTTTTGTCTTGCAAACCTTTGTAAAGTCTTGGTTTTTATCTTCTTGTATTTGCCAGCATTAAAGTAGGTTCCTAATTTGTTCTAAAATTCGAAAATAATTTTATTTTTGGTCACAAAATTTGTAAACGTTTGTAGCTTTAGTTAGATAAATAATTTAAACATAGGTAGAATTTTTAAAATTGAAATAGGGAATTAATTAATACAGTACATAAATAATAATACAGTACATAAATAATAATACAATTAAATTTTATATTAAGTAGTAAAATATACAGTCATAACAATAGGACATAAATTATATATATCTGGCAAAATGGGAGATGAACCTAGCACCTCACAGAATGCAGACAATACTCAAGTAGAAACCACATGCAAAGTAAAGAGTGGAGGAATCAACTGCTGTGTACCACAATGCACCAATAATAATATAAAGAATCCCGAACTTTCATTCCACAAACTCCCAAAGGACAAGGCTTTACAAAAAAAAATGGGTGAAATGACTGAAAACAAAAGGGCCAATGAACATTTGTCAAAATGCAAGCGTATGTTCAACTCACTTCCCTGGTGGAAAAAAAACATATTTGGGTAATATACCAACAGAGTTAGCTATTTGTCAAAATGTCAAAGTTCGAAGGCAGCTGTTTAGACCAGAAATTTTGCCAACTGTATGTGAAGAGTGTCCCGAAAACGAAAATATACCTACCTGTAACAATAGAGATGTAGGTGTGAGTGAAGTAGATGCCACCACATGATGTAGATGTGAGTGAATCATGTTGTTGAATCATGTTGTTGAATAGCTTTTCTGTTCATTTCAAGAACTTTCAGTAGCACAACACAGAAATATTGCCTTTTGATTTCAGTAGCCATGTATCTGTCAAAATTGATTTTATTATTTTCGTCAGAGTGACATTTTTGGGGGACACACTGTATTGTGAAAAAGAGCTAATTTGTTTACCAATTTGTGGAAACTCTAGAATAGACATGTGGTAGCTCCAGTTGACAAAAAACTAAAAATATAAAACATTACCTGTACCTGCCAATGTGAATCATTTCCAGCTTTGGATAAGCGCAAAGGTGTCACAGGGGTTTTCTTGCATGCAGGGGCAAGTACCGAGTTTGAACCCTCTTGTATACGTTCTACGAAAAGCTCTGGCTCTGGCATATCTGCCCTTCTCTTCGCTGATTTAGGTGACGCCTTCTTACCGGCTGACTTTGGTTTGGCGTGAAGTAGATGCCACCACTATTAGGGCATCACATAAGGCTAAAAATATGCCTAGAAAGTGACTTTCATTGCACACATCTGGAGGCTAATGATTTCTTTCATAAAGTAGTAGAGGAGCATGCCAAATGAAATAATAAAAAAAGCCCCCAGTCATAAGTGTGCACAACAATGAGAAATCGACTATATTCTGGTGATGCCGTCATCTATAGTTCTGAAAGGTAAAAATGTTCGAATTTCGAAAAATGTTTACTGGCATCAGATTGAGGTGCATAATTGGAGAAAAAACTATATTACACTGAAAACTTTCAGTCGTTCGTTACCGAGATATCACATTCCAAAGTTTTTTAAAAATGCCGAGTCAGCATTTTTGTTTCTCCAGTAAAGCTTATATTGACAGACTGTATGCAGGGGAAGGGCTTATTTTGCACTAGTAGCTTAAATTGTGCACCACAGTGTGTGAATCAAAGTGGTTATGCAAGTCAGAAAACTAAAATGCGATTAGAAAATCCTAATTGTTTGCCCGTCATCTAAAGCCTTTAAAAGAAACCTACAAGATGAAATCTGTTGCACATGTCGCCAGACTAACTAATTTCACCATGATCAGCAGTTCTTTTGGAGTAGTTCTGATATTACATAGCAAAATTTTACCAATGCACGCTGCACACAAGCAAGCCATGACTTACATATTATTACTCAACAGGCACATTACTCAACAGGCAATATCACTGAACATCGAAAATCTGCTATTAATTCCACTCTGTAGAATAATTTCTTTAGAAGAAATTCATTTAGTAAAGTTAGTCATTCAGGCAGCCAAGGGTCCATAAGCCACTTCACAGTGGCTAGCTTTTTCTTAAGCAAAATAGAAGCATGATACAGAATTTGTAGCTCATTCAATTCTGTGTATACGTAGTGCTGTGATTATCATCATATCCCATGTTGTACAAAACCATTGAAGTTGTTTGACATGTCTTATCCTGTCCATACAAATAGTTAGTATAATTCTTGTATCACTTATTATGGTACTTAACCTCAATGGCAACACAATCTTTTCCACAATTTTTAATAAGATCCAGACCTGTAGTTGTCCTTTTTCTTTGTGCCAGCTTCGCCCAATAGACCTGCATCTGAAGTGTCACACACAACAAGGGTTATTCTTCACAGGTAATAATTTTTGAATAAATATTATTCAGGTGATTATTTTGCTATGTGATCGCTGTACCATTCACTAGCAACTGTATAATGATTTCATTTAATGATAAATATACCATATAATTACAATGTAAGACATACCATGACAAACAAATCGGATTGTTTCTCGCATATTATGCATACTGGGAGCAAAACATTTGGTGATCTAGCCTTCATGTCATTATTTTGGGGACCATCATTGTCAAGTAATGGGTGTAAAAGCTTCTTTGGTGGAACAGTCTGCAACTTCACAGCCAATTAAGATTTCACTGCCTCATGTTCTTTTTTCCTCCACTTTTTGCAATTTGTTTTAATCACAAAGTCTTTTATAGCAGTTCTCATGGTAATGCCAGTCGAGTTCCCAGTGCCTCCTGAGGCCCCCATTTAATTTTTTAATTTTTTGGGGGTGGGAAAGAAAAATTTTTCAAACCATATTCCTTAAAAATAACAAATTTGTCCGTCTATGTCTACTGTAAAGGGGGTCCGGATTTCACAATTTCACCAATTCCTGCTTTTTGGGGCCACCTGTTGCAAATTTTCTGACCCTATACAACTCAGGCTAATTTTCCAATGTACTAGCAAAATGTTTATGGTCATTTTTTGTCGGGGGCGGAGGGGGGAGTCATGGTAGCTGCTGCTGCTGGGTACCCAAACACCCTTCGAGTTTCCCACAGCAGTTAGAGCGTGAAAAATGCCTTTCTACATTGGGCTATCTATTTAATATCCACACCCCCCTCCTATCGATAAGGTCATTAAAATTTTAACTCCCAAGAAAAAAAAGATCAAAGTGCTGACAGCCTGACACAAAACCCCCTCAGATATTTGTAAATTTTCCCTTACCCCTCAGAACAATAAAAAACATCAAATCTTTTTATTACACAAACAGTAAAAGCGTGATTGTTGTGTAATTTATTATACTCTATTAAAAATCATGAAAATATAA